TGTCATACAAATGGTCATGGTTACCCCACTTGTTGTTCAGTATGAATTGCTGGAAATGGGAACCCCGCATCGTTTTAGGCTTCGGAATTTCATCTTTCTCTCTTTACGCCCGGTCCATGCATAATCATACTTCTTAAACATCATTTGGGACACTTTCTGGATGAATGAAGATCTTTTCCTTTTAAACAGGCCCCTCCTTACCAGGATTTGAGCGTGAGTATTCACCACATCTTTGATGACGCGGCGAACCTTTTTCTGTGCAAAGAGATAGTTGAACCAAGTGCTGCCGTGTGGTACTCCTGTTGTTACTCTGTAGTAAACGGGGTACAATTTCTTCTTTCCATTCAAAGATACAGCAAACTCGTACACAGCGGGGACATCACACACATCTTTCCCTTTAAGAACCCCTCCGTTGCAAAAGGCGTCACACCAATCACGACGGGTAAAGGCGATGTCGGGTCCGATCACAGACTGTGTTTTGGAAATGCCTACCATCCATTTCGACCACACCAGTTGTTTCAGGGGTCCCTTTATGAATTTGGTGTCTGTGAGACTTTCTCTGTTTAATCGCCCTCCTGACTCAGCTCTTGATTTCGATTTCTGTAAAACAATTTTGGATACTTAGCAGTTCATTGAATTTATTTACATAAATATACAAACGTACGTATATACCAGTGGGCACTTATATCTATTCTATTTTTTTTAAATCCCCCAGTAGGACATTGTTAGCCAATAGCTATAATAATACAAAAGCAATAATTGTATGCAATTGGCTGCCACCACGTTACTTGTTTGACGTCAATACATACGAGCATCATGAGACCTCTATCACCTGGGAATTAAATAATTTATAAACTATGTATGCTTAAAGATTTTACCTTGGACTTTTTTGTCGTTTTATTCCGTTTCCTTGCAGATTTAGATGTAGGAGTGGTTGTTGTTCCGAAAAGTCCAGTCGGTCCTAATTTCAGTAATCCTGGCCCGAGAGGCGCAGGTCCTCCTGGAAACATTCCTGGCCCGAGTAATGGAGGTGCAGGTCCTACTGGAAACTTCCCTGGTCCGAGTAATGGAGGCGCAGGTCCTACTGGAAACTTCCCTGACCAGGGTAATGGAATCGCAGGTCCGCCTGGACGCATTCCTGTTCCGGGCATAGGAAGCATTCCTGGCAATGTCGGGGCAAACTTAACACTGCTCCTCTTGCCCCCGAGTGTTGTGAATATTCCAGCTAATGTCGTGTCCATTGTTTTGCCTTTGTCTCTTTCCATAACTTCAGCTTCATAAGCCTATAACAGTTCAATTTGATACATTCTCAGTTTAACTATAGTGAGTATATAGGATTTGAGCTGCTTACATCATCAGCACGAGTTATAAGTTTATTTTAGATGTACATGTACTTACTTCATACATGATGAATAAGAAAAATAAAAAGACATTAATGTTTAATAAGTTATACTTACATCAAACAAGTCGGATCCACTCTCCTTATAGCAGATAGACATGAGCATGTCAAATAGAACTCCAAACTTATCAAGAGGGATAACTCTTCCACCGGTCACTGTCGCAATCTCTTCATAAAAAGATGTGCCCCTACAATGACAATGACATTTTTTTATTATCATAAACAATGCAGTCTACAGAATTACCTATACTAGTATACAAATGGATGACAATAATACATGGTGGAACAGGATTGACATTAGTAATTAAAATGAATTATCTCATTAATATCGTTCATAAATTAAGCCAATGATAGCAATTTACGTTGTGTTACATAATTAAAGAATGTATGCTACTTAAATGTGTTTGGTCTTTCATAATGATATCTGGACATATGTTTTCGTCTAGTATTGAGTATTGGTTGGTGTGTACAGGTAAACAGATAATTGAATAGGTCGCCAATTTCTCTTAAATAACATAAATTACCCCATCTATTTTCACGTGATATATTGAACTACCTACCAATTTCGATCTATACGAAGTCCCGACGTTTGTGTAACATATACACTGTATATCTTGACACCCTGAAAAAAAAACATGTTGGATTGTGACAAGTCATGCATAATACAACATTTTTATATAATGTGTAATTTATATCGGTCATAGTTTATATTGCAAAAGAAAAATCCAAACCAGATTGTTCGCTAATTAAATTTAAAATATCAGTAGAAGGTCTACTTTATTTAAATAAGAAATCATTTTAAACTGAACATGAAATTAACCAATATGAGATATGACGCTTTGCAACCATCAAAAGCTAGTTACCATTTTCTTAAGCTCTCGAGCCTCCACTCGCCAATCTATGTCGTTCACAAAGCCGTCATACGTATACCCCGGTTCATGAGGCGGACTATCTCCTATCACCACTAGAGATCGCTGGCTGCCTGGTGTCCATGACAACACTTCTCGCGCCCTCCGTAGCACCAGCTCGTAACATTCGTCCGCGTCTCCGCCACCGGTACGTTTGACTGTTTCTACAAAGTCACACAGCTCAGGGACAGTTGCCCCAAAGTCAATCCATTTTACGATGTAGTTTTTGGCATCGCAATAGTCGCCATGTGCGATTATAGCTATCCTGATTCCCGGGATGTCTGCCTGTAACCGCTGAACCATGTCTTTTATCCTGCCACGGATTTCCTCCAGAGAGCCATACATAGATCCTGTGGTGTCAAATGAAATGGCGATCTCAAGTAGACCTCCGGGTGGTAATAGTGGACTTGTGGTTGAATCGGTGCCGGCATTTAGGCCAGGGACACTGGACTTCCGTTTGGAGAGCGATGCCTTTGTCAGGGATGGTTCTTTAACGAGGGATGACTTTCTTTTTGATAGAGAACTTTTCATTGCTGATGTTGTCTCCATCAGATCTTTCAACTCGGACACAGATTTACGCAGGGTATTAACTGCTGCTGATGTCATACTTCCACTTCGCCGTTTAGAAACCGGTGGGGGAACCGGTATAACATCGCAATCCTTTCCAATTGAAGCTGCTTTAAGACTTCCGGTTTTCCCGACACAAGAGCCAGAGTCAAGAGCGATTACTGAGGAATAGATACCGGGTCCTTCCGAAACAAGTGTCGCTTTTCGTTTAAGTGAGGTGATAGAGGATGAAGATTTTACAGACAATTTTGAGGTGGTGCGCCTTATGGATGCTGAAGACCGTAAAGAAGCGGGAGAAGATGACTCGTCTGATGACGCTAGCGTTACTGTGGTGTCCCGCCGGAGACTAAGTTTCTTTGCCATAGTTACCTCCGTGCTTTTTCTTTTGATGGGAGGCATCTGAAAAGAAGAATAAACTACTGTATTCCTGAGTTAGGAAGAGTTTACCTCCCTGTATTCTTGAGTTATGAAGAGTTACCTCCCTGTATTCCTGAATTACAAAGAGTTTACTTCCCTGTATTCCTGAGTTATGAAGAGTTACCTCCCTGTACTCCTGAATTATAAAGAGTTTACCTCCCTGTATTCCTGAATTATAAAGAGTTTACCCCCCTGTATTCCTGAGTTATTAAGAGTTAACCTCGCTGTATTTCCTTAGTTTGCTCCTTGTTTTTCAGTGTTACCATCAACGTTTGCAAACAACGCTAGGAAGATAAAAAGTGAAGTGTTGAACAGTTGAAAATAACGGCTTAACCTGTCTCACTTAACGCAAAAACTGTTTTCCAAAAAGGATGTTTGCACATTATCCTCGTGATAAAACAATACATGGTAATTTAGTGGCCGTCAGAAGCTTTAATGCATATGGAAGGCTATTAATAAATACTTTTTATTTCCTCATTGCATGAAAAATTAAAGAGAAAAATGAAGGAATATGATTTTTCAAGTGCAACGTGTTTATATTGAAAGTTTCGAAAAGATAGGATGCACGAATCATATTACTGTAACATTGACGATAATCTTTGTTCAAATGAACAGGTTTTTAAAAGTTCAATAGACAAAAGAGGAAGATGGGATGGACGTGTGACAAGTGTGGTTAGAAAGAATGAAAACTCCAACAATTTCAGAAGAGGGGAGATTTAAAAAAGGTTTGCAATTAAGAAAGCAAAAACCGTTAACCCTTTCGATTAAAAACGTTTCTTAATTTACGTAAGCGGCTAGGTTAACAGCTAAAATACGACAGTCTACATTCACTGAGGAGGAAACGTCTTTAGGAATGCATGCATATTCAAAAATAAAACCACAGCATTATTTAGATAGAGTTGTAAACAAACGTTGAAATTATGTTACACGGCATACAAAAAACAAATGTTTAATGAAAACCTAACAACAGTCAAAGAAAGCATGAAATTTTAAATAACGATTTTCTTAAGATGTCTTTATCTTTATTAGTAAAAGAAAATCCAAATCGTGACATTTCAATGTCAGCAAGTTCGTACAGGCCATGTAAAACAAATTGAAATGTCATGGCGGCTTACTTTTAAAATTGTGTTTAATTTAATACCTTTATAACTTCAAAATGTCTGTTACAACGATCATTCAATAAATCAATCAAAACATATCAAACATATGTTGCATGGACACAAAGCACCAAGAAACTACTCAGACTCCACCAAAAAACATCTTCAAGTAATCTGGCGTTGCTTGTGTGTCAATGGCTATTTCTGTGACGAGTCATAGATATTAATAATTGGGGTGAAGCAATATGACATCACAAATAAACTGCGGGTAGACCTCGTCAATAGATCTCCTTCTATTATGAATATTTCATGAACAGAACCCGTTTATGTATTAACTATAGTGTCTACGCAATAAACGTGAGTACTGCATCATGATATTTTTTGTAAAATCGGCTTTTAAGATAAGATTGTCAATGCCATTACCTACCTTGGGCATTAAGGGGTCTGTATTGACTGACGTCTAAACCGCAGTGGTTGTTTATATATGCACAAACGTGAGACGTTGTCATTGGTTTATAGTAGGCAAATACCCTATATATAGTTCAGTAGCATGCGCATTGGATAGGGAATCCCGAACAGGTATGTTCGTGTTTTCCACCCCGATTGATCTCTGTGTCAGCATTTTCTTGATGATTGTGTATATATCTTAACTTCCTGTTGTGCATCGATCGATAAAGAAAGCAGAAGCGTAACATACATCATATACGTACACTACTTGTCTACATACATTATCTACACCTTAGTTGTATATAATGATGGCTTTTTTGGACAATAGTAGGCATATTGAATATAGCCGAGTGTGTCTATTTGCATAAGGAAATATATAAAAGAGACACCCATGCAATCAACCGTCTACACATACACACAAATGACCGATATACCACAAGCCCACACAATAGCATTCTATACAAGGCCACACATAGCTATACATGTATGAAGTAAGCGTGTTTACTATTTAGGCCTCTCTTATTATAGATTATTTCTCTTGTTGGATAATTAGGTCGTTATATATTTATTTCTTTGACATGTTGCTTGAATATCATCTACATCTCAGGTAAATTCGCAAGCATTAACTTTTCCCCTTAGTATGAAGATTTCTTGTACTGTAAAATACTAATAATCATTAAGTTACGAAACATATAATAAGGAGAAATAAATGTACTTTACCTGTTAAGCGATTGTTTCTTAATACATACTTATCATTGGGTGAAAGAAACCGAGACCCATGGAAATGGCGAACCTACTCGGACATTGCACTTGGCCTTCTATGACTGACATCAATTAAGCAAAGGTTGAAAACAGTTAAACTTTTGGCAAATTCCTCCTTTACTGATACCCCTTTGACCTATAATGTCAGTGTCAGAACAATGTTAGTATATCATGCGGTATAGAAATGGTTTTATATCTGACATATTCTTAATCATACATTAGTAAAATTTGGAAATAATTCTTATTCTAATTTTACATATATGGAAATGTCTTAACTGTCAAAAGTCATTGCGTTTAAAAGCAAACTCTGACTAGCATGATTGCCCTGAAAGTAAGTTTTCGACAAATTCAAAGCAACATTAAACAATTATGGGCTTCAGGTGAGTCTATCCCTGATTTACGGACCTGGTCTAAACAAAATTCACCTCGATCTTCGGGGATAGGCCGAAACTGAAGTCCACAGTTGTTTTATCATAGGACATTTTACAATAAGACTTATCATTTTTCATGTCATAAACACATGGATGGCATGCATGGACCATTTTGGAATTACAGAGTGAAGGACTAATACACAATTTCAGATTTGATTCATGTGAAATTTAATTTTCAGTAAAATATCATTTACACAATCGACATCATCAATAGCATCATATAGTTCAGAATTTTATAATATATTTGTAGTTGAATTAATTAGTGTGATTTGTAACAGATGTACAGACAGGCTGGGAAACTACCTAGGACTAGTAAAGGTCGAGGTCTGTAACACTTTTCTATTCATACAACGGGGTCTGTAACAGATTTACAGACTCGGCACATGGCGTCGCTCCTCCAATCAGGGCTGGGTTTTAGTACCAGTCATATAATAATCTCAATTTTGCCATTTATGAAAAAAATATCAGCATCTGACATTTGCATATAAACAAATACAAATAGTTTCTCAGTACCGCCATAGCGCCTTCACCTCTTTAGAGGTTCATCGGGGGAACAGTTCTCCTAATAAATCTCTAAAGAGGTGAAAGCGCTAGGGAGGTACTAAGAAACTATTTGTATTTGTTTTTTTATATTTAACCATCACAAGGACTTTGAATGTTTTCTGGTTATATGCAAACAGATATACTGTAGAAATTTACACAATCATTGTCAATCATATAATAGAAATGCTGATATGTGTGAATTTATTTCGTTTTGACAACCAACTTGATCATTAATTTCTTAACGATGACATCCAGATCCAGTTAACATATACGAATGATGGTTTTGGTTTCCACCGATTCAACATTTTTATGTGAGACATCTGAGGTATTCCACAGAGAGTTGTATAATATATTTTATTCTGTCACAACTATATAACAGCGTGTCTGATTAGCTTATATTGATTACATGACGGGACCATAACGCACGTCCTCACTGGTTTGGGTGTTCATAGTTCTCTTATCAGGAGGAGCCTCTCTCGAAAATGGACAACATTGAGGCGGATTACAACAATGAAGCGTCAACCTAATCATCTTAATATTTGTGTTATTGTTATTTTTCAGCAAAATACAAATACTTAGTGCTCTTACTGTAAAGAAACACGATGCTTTGTTTCTCCTCGATAAATAATATTTTACCCGGGCTTCGCCTTCGTGACACCTTGTCATAGTCTATCTCAGAGAAACAAAGGTTTGTGTTCCCTACTTCATATCCCATAAGTGTGCAATATTCACCCTCTCTAGTATCCTTTTGTGTGTGTGTGTTTCGATAATATTATAGTCATTAGATTTGATTAAACAGTATTTTTTTCTTTTAACATGATAATCATTGTTATTTCTGTACTTTGTACCTTTATTATTCTGAACCAGTGAACTCCTCAAATCTGGAGGAATAAAGTCACTGCGGTTGTGGTATGTTATCAAACATGCTATCTAGTTAAAGTAAGGCTAGATTGATATCCAACGTTGTTAGCTTCAACATAGATCATTTAGTATATTCTTCAAATTAGGATGTTCGCCTCTTTAGCTGGTATAAATATGGGGGAAATAGCAAATTCTACAGATAGAGAAATGTTCAATACCTGCAACGGTAGGGAAAAAAGCGTGACCGTCTATCGTGAGTAACGTTTTCATTGCAATGAAATTTCTAATCGAATAGCAAATAAAAACAATAAAGTGCATGTACATAATTCCTTTTGTGTTTATTTACCATTAAATATTACCAAACAGTATCCAAACCTCAATTCAACTATTCCATTGATTGAAGCGAGTAAAGAAAAGGTCGGAAATCATTGATCTCATTGGCAGGAATTGG